TTAAAACCCCCATGTAGAAAAGGAAGCCGAAACACAAGAAACAAGTAGCCACAAGATGCAGTAGCTTAACATGACCCAGGTTACTTGCCTGGACCAAATACTGATCTGTTTTCTAGCTGTACAATATTTGAGAACATCATTCCAAGATCATTCCCAACTGTAGTTTGTTCTGTAGTCAGGTGCTGCCACCTAATCACTGTGAAATCTCGGACATAATACTTAGCTCCTTGGAGTTTCAGTTTCTTATGAGACAGAGATTAAAAACAAGTCAACATAGGCCAGTGATTTAGCTCAGTGGTTCTACCGCCTGCTTTGCAAACACAAGGTCCTGAGTTCAATCTCCATATCAAAAAACAAACAGGTCAACATCACAGAGTTTTTATAAGCATTAAATAATACATATAACATAGTAAGGACATTGCCTAGCACATAGTAGGTGCTCAGCAAGGGGAAGGGAGAAGCAGCTCTGCGCTGGGATCACATGCCTGATGATTAAAGTAGCAAATTATCTAAGGACTACAGTTTTCCAATTTCTTAATGAAAAGTGTCTCACTTTGCCTTTCTGTGTACTTCAGAGGCTGTACTTAGATTCTCCAAAACAGCTGATTTGCTCTGGCCCATTTGCTAAGGAATGTCTGACAAAAGTGCACTGTCTGACTCAGATGCAGCGGCTGCTGCAGAAATTGGCTTTAGGGTCTTCAGGGACTTCTGCAGTTGAACTGAGAAGGCATTCTCGTCAAGTACAGTGCTTCCCACACTTCTGAGCACTTTAAGCTTCTCAACCACTACTTTTCCTTGAAGTGCTTCTTTGTTTTTTAGAGAACTCTCAAAGGAGATTAATATTCCACACCATGGAGTTTTATTACCGACCTTCCGTGTCCATTTATTCTTTGTGTCTTTTTGGTCTCAACTTAGCAGCAGTGAGATGGTGTACAATTTTGCCAGTTGGCTGACTCCTTTTCTTTTTCTTGGGCTCTGCCGTGCACTATCTGGCTCCGTGCTGTCACTAACGGCAATGTGGTGTACACAGGCCGTCTGACTCCAGCTTGATCGCGTGCTCGCCCTGTAGCCACAGGAAAGGCACTGTGCCTCTCTGAGCCTTCACTTCCTCACCTCTAAAACAGGACATTAACTGAATAAATCTAATGTTTTTACATTGGAAGGCTCTGCTCTCTTTAAAAGCTTTTGTAACCTTAGAATCCAAGCAGCAACAGGAAATGCCCATCCTCTCATTGTGAGTTTTTATCCATTTGTGATTCCTGGTGCTGTTTTCATGTTCCTGGCATTGTCGGTAAGCAGAGCCGATACTTTAGTGCTTGCTGTGTTCTTCTGGATGGCACATATCTTATAACTGATGCATTCTTCCATGTGGCGTTCTGCCGTTGTGCTTTGGCTCGCTTGTGTAAAGGAGGCGGCTGTGCCAGCTTACAGTCTGAGAGTCCACCCCTGGCCGTCCATCCTGTACCTCACACCCAGTGCTCTGTTGACTGCTCCCTGCACAGGTCCCACTGCCCACTCAAGTTCCCTCACCAAAGGAGGCTTCCTCAAAGAATGCTGCTGGGCAAATGGAATGACCATCTTAATAATGTGAAAACTTCCTGCAGTATGCGTTTTCCATTATTGACAATGGTGTTCCAGAAGAATACATGGCTCTGGCGAATATTCTTGGTCAGGTCTCCCCTGCTCTTCAGGTGTCACCTGTATACTAATGAAGCCACTGAGAGTGTTTTGTATGCAGTGGCTCGCACCTTTGTCTGCTCAGGGGGCCTGAGCGGATCATCTTTGTGGTGACACTGATGTTGCAGAAGGGAGCACAGCTGTGTACCAGACCCTAGAAGTTCAACTGCTTCTTCCTCATCACGGACTCTTCTCCCTCATTTAAAAAAAAAAAAAAAACTGGCATATGGTGCTTCCCAGATTCAGTTTGTTTGGAAATGTGCCTTCCAGTCAACCATTCAGTGAATGACTTTCAGCATGCAAAGGTTTCTACCTGCTGGAAGCTGGCCATACCATTTTGCAAGAGAGGAAGTTATTCCAGTGGGCACTGCCAGAGGAAGGCCACCAGGTTAGCTGCATATAGCTTTCTAGTTTCCCAGCCTTTCTTTTTTTCTCCTGAAGCTAGAGGGGCAATTTTGTGAGGGGAAAAAAACTTAGATTATGAGGGATTCTTGAGCAAAGGGTTAAGGGAGCCATGCTTCTAAAAACTAGAATTCAGATGCATTTAATTTTCTGTTTTTAAGAAAAAAAGTCACACTTCTTTTCCTGACTGCTTTGTAGTTAAGACCAGAGCCAGGAAGAACTTGGCTTCTAGATCTGTCTGTCTAGCCTCAAAACCTCTACATCTTCCCCAAATTTCCTCTGTCTTGGGCGTTTTTGGACCAGTAAGTGTTATATTGTTGATCTCCCTAGAAATTTATAGAGCTGTGTACCATCGTACATCCCTGAAGTCCCAGTCAAGTGAGGTAGGAGGCTCACTTGAACTTAAGAGTTTGAGGCCAGCCTGAGACGAGTGAGAACTGCATCTCAAATAAAAAGTGTTGTCATTCCCCACTTTGGGTCCATTACACTGAGAGATGATCAAGAAATATGCACTTTCTACTTACAGAAGTGAACAGAACAACTGACAACAAACCACAAGTTTTTCCATCTCATAGTCAGAAGTGATCCTTGTTTGGCAGTTATACTTTGTTAGGTTTTAGGAAATGTGAGATTTTAGCTACATTGGGCAGCTATAGAAGAAAATCATTCTGTTGCACGATAACACTGAATCATAGCAGTCTTTCACTGTAGATCTTTTGCCTTCCTATAAAAATTCATAAAATACTGTATTATGTAAATTGCTTTTAAAGAAAAAGCAGATTCATTTACATGCCATCCCAGTTTTGTGGGAGATCATTTATGAAACAAAAAACCAATTATAGGGCCGGGAATTTAGCTCAGCAGTTCGGTGGCCTGCCTTGCAAGCAGAAGGACCCGAGTTCAATTCCCAGTACAAACAAACAAACAAACAATTATAACCCATTAGGAATTGGCTGTAAATGCAGTGGAAAGAGGGAATTAATCAACAAGTATCTATTGAGTATCTACCACGTTCTCTGCTATGCAAGAGTCAGGTCCTGCCCTTGGCTGGCCTATGAAGAAACAAGTCATGATACAAAGCAACAGGCCAATTATGCAACATAATGGCGTCGTATGTGCCTCAGATGCTATAGAAGTTTAAAAGAAAAGTTTCCTAGTAAGTAGGACAGTAAGAATTTGAGGCTTGAGCTAGAGGAGAAAAAGGTCATGGTGAAAGCTTTGACAACACACAGTATAAAGAGTCAACTAAAGCAGGCAGGGTAAGAATCAGCTGAGAAAGTTGGGTGGGTAGAATACTACAAGTCTGCAGAGGTTTGATTCTGACTACAGCCTCTGGAGAATCAATGATGCTCTTTAAAGGAAAGTGGTATGATAAGAGCTAAGAGCTACCCAAACAGCCACATCTGGGATGAACGAAAGTTGGAAAGAGGCAGGAAGTTCAGGCAGAGGAAAACCCTCGTGGCAAGCCAAGGGCAAGGTGCCTGGGTGCTGAGCTATGAAAGGGTAAAGGAAATGGAAGCCAGGCAGATGTAACAGACACGGCTAGAAAGAATCAACAACACTGACACCAGCTTTATTCAGGGGAGGGGAGACTGTTGAGGATTCCAAAGTTACTGGTCTTTCAGTCTTAAGACGACTTGGTAGAAATGACTGGGGGAAATGAATCCACCTTGATTTCTATCAGGTTTGAGGTGACAGCGGGACAGCTAATGAAAATGCAGAAGCTTCAGCTGTAGCTGTGTTGTACACTTGGAGAAGGATGAATCACTCAGATGTGTCACATCTCAAGAATGTAGGAGGTGACGCTTCCTTGAAGGGGACAGTGGCAAAGAAAGCACTATGGAACAGTCCTGCGGATGATGAGTAGGTAGGGCCCAGCTGAGGAAAAGAAAGTAAGCCAGGCACCGTGTGCTCAGTTGTTTGAACTTCTCCAGCCCACTTTGTCTTCCAGGGCTGGACAGAGGCATTCGAGGGGTAGAGTGGTGGCACTGCTGGTGACCAGGATGAGGAGAATCTGCAGAGGCCCCACTGGCCTCAGGAAAGGATGGGATAGTCTGCGACGTGCAAGTGTGGGAGAGGGGAAAGGGCAAACGTTATCATTAACAGGGCGCAGCCTGCTTCATAATTGCAAAGGGAGGTGGTATCGCCTTTGTAACAATAGAGGAGCGGGAAAGGACAGAAAGCCAGTTGTGGGCAGGCAAGGGCCGGGAAAAGTGTCTGTGGACTAGGGGCATCCCCCGACTCTGACTTACTGAGCCTCCACTGCAGGTCACTGGCGAGGAAGGTCCTTCCTCCCACCTTCCAGAATTCCAGCAGCTGCTGGAAGGGAGGGTGGATTCTGCTTACTGGAATTTGATCTGATCCACCTGCATTGTTGGCTCAAAGCTCCTGATTCACTTCAGGGATGGTTTCCTGCCATTTAAATGCTATAAACACTAACAGCAAAACAACTCACTGGCTGGTCCCGGCCCTCTACACCTGCCAGGCCCAGCACCTGCAGCTCCACATGGAGAAGACAGGACATGCCCATTGGCCCCTGTAGGGGTGATGGTAAGGTGTTCTTGGAGCCTGAAGGCAAGATGGGGTGTTATGGAGGGGAGAAGCGAGATGACAAGAGGGCCATTTGGCTACTGGAGAGGCACAGTGGAGTATCTTGCAGAGGAGGAGTAAAACCAGGTCATCTCCGCCCACCTCCATCTGGGTTCGGAGGCAGAGACACGGGCAAAGGCAGGACACACCGCTCCACAGAACAGCAGTGTGTGCACACAGCTGATATCGACACACAGACATTTAGCAACAAGCTGGGACCCAGCGAAGGTACTTGTCCAGGCACACAGAGCTCCTTCCTCTCCGTAAGTGTCCTGATGTGAGCAGAGGCAGCCCCTCTTCCAGCCCTCACTCCTTCCCTTGTGTTCTTCCAGGTCGTGACATGGCAAGCACCACTCTGCCTGGTTACCCCCCGCATGTGCCCCCCACTGGCCAAGGAAGCTATCCCACCTCCACCCTGGCAGGAATGGTTCCTGGTAGGTGACAATGCTGCAGCTGCCTAACAGATGGGGTAACGACACAGTGGATGAGCTTCTGAGTGGTCTGCCTCCGAGGCTGGGGTGGAGGGGACCCAGCACCCACTCTCTCCAAACTCGGTCATTTGCTCCCTCTCTCTGCCTAGAGGCTGCAAGTGGTCCCTCATCCTTCCTCATGAGCAACTCAGACAGGAAGCTTGAGGAAGTGCCCTTCACTATACATCGAGGCCCCTCCCCAGCACCCACCCACTGCCAGGAGCAATGGCCACCTCCACCAGCTGACTCCACTTCCAAGAGCCTGTCCTGGTTTCCATGGAAACTTGGAGCCAAGAACCATTTGCAGGGCCACGTCATTCAGCCAGACAAAGCCACCCTGGGCCACACCAAGTACAGGGAAGACCAATGTGGAGGACCAACCCAATCCAGAGAGGAGGGAGTGAAGCCCCTAAGAGGAACCGAGACAGGTTATGGCAGGAGCCAGAGAGGTTGGCTTCAGAGAGATGAGCTAGAACACCCCCATATCTCTCCTAAGGACTTAGGCCCTTGCTGCTCTTCCGAGGCCCTGAGCCACCCCTTGCCTGTGAGGTATGGGATTCGAGTCATGCAAGTTGGAAGCAGTGGCTGATGCCTGAGGCTGGTGGTAGTGCTGTCCTAGCCTTCACCCAGACTGACGCCAAAGAGTAGAAGTTCCTATCTGCAGAAACCCAAAAACTTTTGGTCTTACAGAGGGTAAGACTCACCCCAGCTTACAACCACTGCCCCAGGGGCGGTCTTGTGTGCCCTGACCCTGAAGTACAACTGTCCGTGGTAGGGGCAGAGGGAGAGGTCAGAAGAGGGCGATTGGCTGCGTCTATCCAGGGAAAGCCCTGGGTAGAGAGCTTAGGGTGGGAGTGAAGCAAAGCCGGGAAGCTGCAGGGTGCTAGGAACAGGGCCGGTTGTCAGTGAAAGGAGTCCTGCCCAAACCTGGAGAGGCAGGAGCATTGTTGGGGGACAGACCGACTCTTGGGGTAAGGTTCCAGCAGTGAGCAAGTGGAGGCGGGAGGTCTTGGGGGAGGGGGCAGAGCAGCGAGGTGGGTGTGGGGAGTCTGCAGGGAGGTGGGGATGAGGGGAGCCGCAGAGAGCTCATGGTGGCACGGGGGGAGTCGTTAAACAGAATCTAGTGCTGATGAGGAAATTACACTTGTTTCATTAGCGATGCGGAAGGAGATAGCTCAGTTCCTCTTGGTCACAGTTGAGCTCAGAAGCTCATTATCCTGCTGCACGCATGCTTTCCCTCCTCGTCAATAAACAGGCTTTCCAGTGGCTGCACCCCCACCCCCACCCAGCTCCCTCTCCGAGAGGGGCCCTTCTCCTCTACTTAACCCGCGGTTAGGGATCACTGTAAACAGTCTGGGGTCACCACACAGGAGAAAGGGCGAGGGGGAAACCCTGAGGCCTGGTCTTTCTGCCCGGAGGGGGGAGGCAGCTTCCGATGGCTCAGGCCAGGGGCTCCGCTCCCGACGGTGGGCAGTCCACCTGCTTCCGTTGTCCCTGCCCCTTGGCCCGCGTATCCCAACTCTGGAGGAAAGGGGGAGGGTCTCAGCAGAGCACCCACCTCGCATTGGCACCACGCCACCAAGATGCCGTTACTTTCTGGGACAAAGTGTCCCAAGGGCCTTTCTTGGGCACCTTCCCCGTCCCACCACGTAAGACAGTGGCTCCTAAAACTACAGTGTCCACTACAAAAGCCTTTGGAGCCCGAGGCAGCAGGGTGGGCGCCCCGACCAAAACTCACCCTTCCCTGGTGGCCAGTGGGCGCCACTTGGGGAGCCAGATGCGCACGGTCCCTGAATGTCGTTGGTGGGAGAGGATCGCGAGGCCTCCTGCCTCCTCCTAGCGCGCCTGGTGCGTCGCTCCGCCTCTGACCGGCTCGCGGCAGCCACGGCCGGAAGGCAGCAGGGGGCGCCCCGACCAAAACTCACCCTTCCCTGGTGGCCAGTGGGCGCCACTTGGGGAGCCAGATGCGCACGGTCCCTGAATGTCGTTGGTGGGAGAGGATCGCGAGGCCTCCTGCCTCCTCCTAGCGCGCCCCT